AAGACAAAACATGCAGTATTAAGTGTGACACATGATGCTCACCTCTGCTTCATTTGCGTAGATGGGTATGTCATGGAACGGAGAGATGTATTTGCCCTCAGAGTTTTCTATGAGGAGGAGTAATGCAATTTTAACTCTGTGTTTTTCAATTTATCACAATGAGGAACTACAGAGTGTGAGATTCCTTCACAAAGCTCTATGATAACTTGACAGCACAGCTATTACAGTTGCTACATAGCCACAAGTTAACGAGCACATAAACACTAATGTTCCCCATTCACACACAGTTGATTCAAAGAGCTGCACTTACTGAAAAACACCCTGTAGTCCAGGGTGTTGGGCCTGCCCCTCTCCTCGATGGTCACGCTCATGTCTATTGTTGCTGTCACACTCTCCCACTGTGGTCTGTGCACTAATCCAGCAGGACTAAGAAGCTCCTGACTGACAGGCAGTCATTGAAACAGAGGGAGCAGGCATGCGCACTGCTTAAGCCAAGCGACCTGACAGCCACATGCATGTGACAACAGGAAGTGTGAAGGCCAGATGACAGAGCTGCCTCCTGTATGTCCCTCTGTGAATTCAGATCACATCCATCATTGGCATCTGTACCTTACAAGCGTGAACAAACAGAAACAAGCAGAATTGCCCAGAATAGCAATCAACAGCTAATCCCTCTCCATGGCTGCCACATGCTTTCTGCAACATGGCTGTGAAGTTTGCATGTGATTTGTTTTCCCGGTAAGCTGTGGCTCTCCAGAGCTCTTTTCAGACATAAACAGATGGAGCTGACTGGCGTTAGCTGTAAACCAATTAACGAGGCCGGATTAGGTGGCGTGCCCGCGTTGTGACTTCTTGACTATTTGATAACACATTCACGGGCCTATTTTTAGAAACATTATGTATAGAATTATGTGGCTTGAAATTCATCCTTCCTTCAGGTATTTTGATGGTAATGAATGGCATTTTATTGCACTTGTCATGTTACAAACGCTGAATAATACTGTAACCAAGTACCATTTGTGAATCTATGACTGCAGGCTTCCATTTTGAGCTTTTGTACAAAAGAATTTTGTCTGTTTTTGTATTATATGGGACCCATTTATACAAAACCTGATGATATAATATAGAGTCTCAGATGACCTTGGGTGCTTTCAGACCTAGAGTTGTCTTGCTTTGGTCTGAATCAGGGACTTATTTTGTTACAAAGTTGCATAATTGCCTGTTCTCACGGCAGCATTTACAAGCGGAAGTAAAACAAAAAGTTGAAGAAGAGTACACTTGCAAGATAAATGTGACACTTTCTAATGTCACAATGGAGGGACAGCTACACAGGTTGATTTTAGCGCTGCTCATCGTGGACTATATTGCTGTCATTGTTCATTTTAGTCAAACCATACAGTTTGAAAACGAGGCGCGGCTCCAACTAGAAAACTGTTTTGATGCATTGGATGTGCTGAATGTGCATATTAAGGCAGTACAGGAGGAGGTGCACATTAATAATCCTCCAGGACTGTAACATGCTCATGTTTAACCCAAACAATGTGTCATGTGACTGCAGTTGGTTCAGATCCAGGTCGGAACACGTTCTCACCACAAATGATCCGCACCAGAGTTCTGGTGTTGTTGGATCTTAGCACAGCTTTCAATACTGTGGATCAAAGTATTATGATTGACAGGCTCAGACAGTGGGGGGTGTCTCTGGGAGTGCACTTGACTGGTTTTGCCCCTACCGTTCAGATAGAAGTTTCTCTGTGTATTTTGGTTCTTTGAGCTCTCATACTGTTGCTCTTTCCTGTGGTGTGCCTCAGGGCTCTGTCTTAGGCCTATATTATTTCCTATATTATTATACATCCAGTATATCGTATTCACTATTATGCTGACGACGTTCAACTGTATGTGTAGTTTAAGCCTGTTAGCACAGACAAACTTGCTGTTCTTCAAAACTGTTTGATTGCCATCGAGGACTGGATGTCAACAACAACTCCTTATAATAAAGTCCCAATGTCCTCAAACAAGACAATAATCAAGTCCTGATGTCTTGAAACAAGACATTAATAAAGTCCCAATGTCCTCAATCGAGTACTTACTATCTTGTATTCTTATCTTGTTACTGTTGCTAAAATTGGTCAAATTTGTTGCCATATCAAACTAAAAACATTATTAATCATAAATAAACAAGTTTCAACCATAAAATATGATGAGGTTTTGGACCTTGTCCACTTTTGTGTCGCAGACTTGGCAGAGGTGGCTGCCATCTTGTGTTTACATGGATTACTGTATCGTGCTTTTACTACCACTAGATAGAGCAAAAAAGTGTCCACAAATGAGGACAACAGGTCTAAGTTAAATAGAATGAAGTATAAGTTTAAGTAAACCCAAAATGTGATGTCCTCATATGAGGACACAGGATCTCAGGAGGATATTGCCTTTTTTTTAATTGTTTGGGAGTTTTATTGTTTAATTGTTTGATTGTGATTTGTGAAGCACTTTCTGAACATCATGTCTGTGATAGGTACTGTACCAAATAAATTTTATTGGTAGTAATATAGTGTAAATGTAGCATTTATTCGATCATGTCGAAATTATTAACAATGAGCTGTTTATGTGGAGAAATTGTACAATGAACATAACTACCGACGGAGAGCCAGATATATACATCTGTACACTAACAGTGTAACAGGAACAAAAATAAAATGACTGTAGTTTCCTCTAGTTTATAGATGATCAGCACCATCAGTCAGAGAGCAGATTGATGCACAATACAAGGTCACAGCCTGGGCAGCAGAGTAGTCACCTGACGCTGTAAGCCTGCCACCTTGCTAAATATTTCTCTTGGCCAGAAGACATCAAGAGTCTGGCATCCTACCTTCGCATAAAATAGACCATTTAAAAACTCTTTGCAGAGAAAATGGATGTGCTCATGCGTGAATCCCTCACATATCATACTGCTGCGTCCCTTTATATGCTCCTCTGTGGTTGACATCAGCTTATAGGCGATCCAGACTCAGCAGTGTTGCTATTTAAAGTATTCCTGAAAAGCCTGAGCAACCGAAATACTTTTAATACTGTGGATCAGTCTCTGTCACCTGCAGCCTTGGTTACAGATGGAGGGTTTGGGAGCTTGATCAGTGTTTATGCTGCTGTGTGTACTTTCTCTGTAACCTCGCTAAATCAAGTCTCGGCGGTGCCTCGAGCTTGAAACTAGTGATAAGATAGTTTCAGAATATTTTGCTTGTCTTTCCAATTCAGATTCAGATCCCTGTTCAGTACCCTGAAGGTCAAACTCAGGAAAACACATCACAGTCACTGGTTCCAGCTTCTCAGATGTGATGATGAGCTGCTCTTTTTTTGTTTCGCATTCTGGGTCTTGGCCTGTTGGTCTGACAAAACAAAGTATTTCGAAGACATCATCTTATCGGAAATTATGGAAGCCAAGAACAGCCGTGGTGGAAATTATTGTTCAATGTTGTTATCTCGATGTTCGCGGGTTAATTATTTCAATATCTTGAGATAACGAAGCAGGTTAATTGATGTTGGTTCTTGAGAAAACCAAAGGTCGACTAGTCGAGATAACGAGATAATTTATTATCTTTGTTTTCTCGAGATCACGGGATAATTGGAGAACTTGAAAATGAGCATCTAGTTCATTTGATTCCATCTGATTTCAGCCTTCAAGATCACCGTTGTGACTGTCAGGGAGGATTCATGACTGAACCTTGATTGAAGATGTCGGTGAAGACTCTCAGTCATCCAGGTCATGGTAATCTCAAGTGCTATATTGAAGGCAACTGGAGTTTCTTGAAGACGTTTCACCTATCATTCAAGAGGCTTCTTCAGTTCTTACTAGATGTTCTGTCATATTCCCATACCAGTCGAAGGGTATTCTTCCCAAACTGTATAGCAACATGTTGGTGAAGATTCTCAGTCATCCATATCATAGGCACGTGGACTTGCTTGAGTTCTTGAAGATGGCTTCTTCAGTTATGACTAATCTGACAGTTCAAATACGGACATTGTTGTCTTCCATAGAAATAATCGTTAGCTGCAGTCCTAAATGTAACAGCCTTTTCTTTTTTGTGTTTTTAATTTTACTCTAGGCTGTGAAAATTGACTTTAAAAGATCCAAGTCTTGTCTATTAACTTTGTGATGGGCCAACCTCCCACTGACTTAATTATTTTTCTTGAACAGCATACATGATATATGTCAGAGGTAAGATCTGATGGAATTGATGTCTTACAGAGTTGACAAAAAGTTATATATTTATTAATTTCACAGCAGTTGTAGTGAGTAGCCATTTTATTTTTCAAATTTGCTAAGAGTTTGCTGGATGTTAATTAAAATACTCAATTTTAAACACAAATGTTTACTTAGTTTTGATTTAGGACGGCTACAGAGTTGACCTGTTATGGTTGAGACCCTTCTGATAACCTATTACTTAATGAATTTGTAAATAAAATAGAAATTTTACCGATACTTGAGAAGCATTCCTGCCTTTTTGGAAACCAGGAAGTGAGACTTGAGTCCTTGTGTTACAGCTAACCTCTTTTATGCCTGATTAAATTATGTTTTTGTGGAAATCTGATGAACTTGAAAAATCTGGGGCACATCTTTAAAGGGCCAACATTTTCACAAAAATATATTTCAAAACAATGACTATAGCAGAACATACTGTCAATTATAGATTTTTAAGGCTATTAACACATTTTTTAATTTAAGTTGTGAATTCTGGATAGGTTTACAAGTTAAAAAATGAAAGCAGATCAAAATATTTTATAAATCATTTGGATTTTATATATACCTAACATCTTTTAAAAGTAAAGTTTCACCCCAGAAACAGAATTAGTGTTTTTAAGTTATGTTATTTTTTGCAGGATATAATTTGTCCCAGTTCTCAAGAATAGGTGTGTGTTGTCATCCTGTGTTGTCTAACAAAATTAATCAAACACCATCTCAGCAATTAATCCATCACCCAGTGAAAAAATAATGACATGAGACTGCATAGTTTCCAACCCATACTCTTTAATTGAAAAAACTTCCTTATATACTATAAAAAACAATAAATAAGTCTATTAATGACTTTTGTCTCGATGGAGACGAAACTATATCAGACAGTGTAAAAGAATTGATCTCATCTCCAAACACCAACTTCAGCTTTGTGTAGTTCATACAAAGAGAACAAAGTAAAGGCCACAGGTTGGTTGCCAGCAGGACTGATTAACTTAAGTAAGGACACTAAATTTGATTGCACACCTTTTTTTTTCCTGTAAACCCATTGAGATATCTTAAGTTATATCTTCAAGTATTGTGTTTCCTCATATCTCAGGCACACCAAAGCATCCAGCTGAAGTAGTTAAAGGCACGCAGCATGCAGTCCTGTGAATAAAATACACAACTTATTTTAGGACTCTGTTTCAAAGTTGTGGGGAGATTGCAGAGCAGACTGAGTGTTTGAGTCCAAAGGGTTCGACTTCACGTTCAGCCACTTCAGTGCTGGCATGCCTGACAGCTTCTCCACTGGTATTTCTGTGGGACAAGATAGAAAAACAAAGTAAATATCAGCTCAAACCAAGCCATGTAAGAATATACAACCTCTAAGGCAGTACTTTGGATTTCTTGACGTTGGGTTATATGAGGTCCTTATCCAGAGTCAGTGTATTACACACAGTAGATGGCGGGTTGGTACGCCCCAGTTTTGGAGACTAGGCAGGAGTACTGGCATGAAACCTCGGTAATGCACTGCTGTGGATGGGGGCAGCAGGAAAACATCCTTAAGCCACTTAAAAAAGAAATCACTGGGGATGCAAGATATTGGATTTTTTTTCCAACATCCCATATGCTGACATATTGATATTTCCACTCCAACTCGCAATATAATGGCTTCAGCTCCTTGTTGGAAAGGACTGTCTAAAGGTACTTTCACACCTGCCCTGTTTGGTTTGGTTCAGTCAAACTCAAGTTCGTTTGCCCCCTAAGTGCGGTTCGTTTGGGCAGGTGTGAACCAAAACAACCAGACCGAGACTTTCTTGAAGAGGTGGTCTCGGTCCAGTTACAAACAAACTCTGGTGCTGTTCGTTTGTGGTGAGAACGTGTTCCGACCTCGATCTGAACCAACTGCAGTCACATGACACATTGTTTGGGTTAAACATACACTGACTATAGTTAAGTATCTCATACAACCCCACTTCAAAACATCTGAACTATCCCTTTAATATATAATTAGAATTACCGGTGATGCTGTTCCCCTCCAGGTTAATTCTCTCCAGTGTGGCTATTTCAGTGAGCTTATCAGGGAAGACGGAGAAGTTGTTGAATGCCAGATTGATGCAGGTCAAATGCTTCATTTCTCCCACAGTGTCAGGCAGCTTGGTGAGAACGTTTCCTCGCAGGTCCAGCTCTGAAACACATATGTAATATTTCAACACAGAAGATAATTGAGGGGTCGCTTCTCTGTTCACCTGTTGCAGCCTGTAGACACTCGGTCAACATTTGTGAGGGTAACAGCATACAACATCTTTTCTTCAAGATTGAAACCATGACTCAAATGCAGTGTTGTTATCCACTACCTCTCAGCTGAGTGAAGGTTGAAAAGAACTTGCTGGTTATGGCCTTCATCTCATTGTCAGCCAGTGTGATAATACGGATGTTTTCTGAGACACTCCTCAGGACCTTGAACACACCGTCTGGGAAGGAAATGAGCTTGCAGTTTGACAAGTCTGCAGAGGAGAAGAAGAGGAACAGGATTATGAGATCATGAAGTATTAACACAGCAGGGGAATGTTAAATATCTACAAATAACACCAACTATGAGATTTAAAGCTATTTCAGCAGACAAATGAAAGCCTCTGTCACCGCCTGCTGGTGGAAATCTGTAATAGCATCAACCACAATATTAAATCAAAGCTATTCATTCAAACAGCAGAGTCTTACCCAATGTGTCTTTCCCATCCTCGACGGTCGCATTAACCCTCCGGGCCACGTTTGCAACTGCCTCAGCCATTTTTTCTGTTTTAACTGCTCCTGAAAAACACATTACACTTAGACATACTTTATACATGAGACGTATGACAGCCAAATAATAATTACAGCAACTAATAACAGTATATTATTAGAAATGTATCCATGTATTATGCAGTTAACACATTTGCCACTTTGAGCCAACATTAAGTTGGGGTTGTACAGGGTGTCTATAGTTATAAATAGTTACATTTAAGACTTTTTAAGACCATTTTAATACCACCTTATATCATATTTAAGCCCAATCCTGCAATGGAAACTAAGCAAACACCCTGTTGTCCGTTCAAAATGAACAGTAAGGAAAAATAACAACAATTTGGTAAGTTTGAATTTAATGTGTTTCATGTTTATAAGAAAACAAAATCCCATCACTGCCATAAATGCTTTATTATTTCAATTCTTCTGTCTGTCCATTGATTGTAAACAGTCAATGGGTCTGTCAGGCCGGAGAAATTTTTGTGGTAATGTGACCGAAAACATTTGAGACCCATTGAATCTTAATTTAAGACAATTTAAGACAACAACTTAAGACATTTCAAGACTTTTTAAGGACCTTTTATCTCCTTGTGTATGTATCTTAGTCTGTGACAAAACTAAATGGTATTTCTCTGTCCATTTATTGCTGGAGTAATAGGATCCTATCACTACAAAACAATATTATAACAAAAGAAAATATGTGAAATTCCTTTACTCTGGGTTAATATCTGTAAACTGACATCGATATTTTCTGACATCATTCATTTATGTACGTACCAACACAGTAACGCAAATGTACCTCATTAAACGAGCCTTCATTCAAAATTCTTAAGGTTTTCAAAAGCTCAGGAAACAAGAAATAGGCCTACAACTACAACTACAACCCATGAACAACCCTAGATAATTAGTAAATGCTATGAACAAAAAATAAACTTGTGCTCCATGAAATAATCTATTGTAAAAAATTCAGTGTTGGGGAATGTTATGTTATGCTTTCAGATCAGTTGAAGGATCATTGCAGTATACTGTAATACTCTTAATATATGCAGAGGTGGAGGAGGTATTCACATTTTTTGCTCAAGTATAAACAGCAATACTATTTAAGTAAAAGCCCTCCGTCAAACCCTTACTGAAGTTAAAGTATTATTAGTATCTTATGCAGAATGACCCATTGGATTATAAATATTGATGTATGTTGCTGGTAATAAATTTGGAGCACATTTTTATTACTTGCAACATATACTGTTAGGGTTGCAGTGATACCACTTTAAAGGCATACTGTAATTTAAAGGTTGATGGTTATCATACTGTGTACTTTTGCTTATCCACTCTATTGAAATATAAAATGCAACTGGACATTGAATCTCACCTTTTTTTTTTTAATAGTTATTTTCTAAGGGGAGACTTTTTACATGGACTTCGATTAGCAAAATGGTTTCAAGTTTCAATTATAGTAATAAACATTTGTTCAACTGACAATAACCCTTCCATTGTAATTCCTTTAAGAGTCATACTGACTGATAATATAAATTCTGTATTACCATGATACTATGAAACCGTGATATTTTCTAAAGATGGTTATAGTTATTGTGAAAATCTCATACCATTGCAACCCCATATACTCCTGGGTGTCCTATCATAATGTAGTCTGCAAAGTAACTAGAAACTAAATGGATGTAATGGAGTAAAAGCACAGTATCTGCATTCAAACTGTAGTAAAGTACAAATAGGAAGGAGCATAAAATGGAAAATACTCAAGTTATCTAAAGTACTTGAGTGAATGTACTAAGTTCCCACCATTGAATACAAGTTGTTGTTTTTTCTTTTCCCACTGAATACAAGTTAAATCCTTAATAACGAATGACAAATCTGCAAGTCACTGCAGTCGTTATACAAATGTAATGAAGACAGAGAGTCTCCCAAACGTTAAAAATCTTTACTAACTTTAACACCAATACATAAAATGGCTCTTCATGTTTGTTACTATTGGTTGACTTAACATTTAAAACAATGAAGGGCTGGGTAATGCCAACCATTCACACTGGACCTGAGTCAGTACAACAGATTACTTTTCTCTACGCAGGAGTCAAATAAAAGAACCCACCACAGTCCCTACATTACCAGGCTGACACAAAGACAGCCTGTTCAGCTACACACAGCCATTATCTGATTACAGTTTCATTAAAACCACACCAGGGAGCCACTTACCAAACCTAGAAGCTACTGTTACAGAGCCTGGCAGCTGCCTCAGTTAGCTAACGTTAGCTACAGCAGCTCAGCCACAGTCTAATTTGGTAAGTGTGTATTTTTAGCCCCGAGGGAGGCTCTTCACCTGAATGCTGTCCTGCTCATTACAAATATAACATTAGCGACACCTCAACGTAACGTTACGTTAAAACTAACTTTGTAAAAGTCGTTGTTGCTAAGCGACAGCTGGAAAATAAGGAACACGCTAGGCTACTAGCTAACATTGCTAGTTAACAGTCGATTAGGAAGTATGTGAATTCATGAGTGTCAGACCTGCGCTCTCACGTTGCAGACAGGTAGTTCAACTTTATTGACAAAACATTAAGCCTTAAAAGGAAATAATGTCACCTACTAAATTGTTATAATTATTATTACTAATAATCACGTTTTTCAGTCGGCCAGTATTGGCAATGGTGGAGGAAGTTAGCTTAAAGTGCAGATACCGCACTGTAAAACTACAACTCTGTTCTCAGTCCTGCAATGAAAATGTTACTTAGCTAAAAGTATGTACATATGATCAGGAAAATGTACTTTAAATATAACAAGTAAAAATATTCAATGCAGAAAAATCTGACAAACAAACAAAATCAACTTAAAATTATCTAAAATTTGGACATTTAAATAACTAAAAGAAAAAACAGCAAATTTGAGTTTTTACCGTTTTTTTTACACGCACACAAAAAAACTTAAATTATTAGTTAGTTTTTTTTGTCAGTCAGCTTACTGATTAATCAACTAATCATTTTCAGCTGTACTTGTATAGACTGTTGGGTTATGTAACTTATAACAAAGCATCATTTTTTAAAAAATCTGTATGTTTTATGTGCAAAAATCCTATGTTGTGAAAATATCCTCTCATTTGTGATATTTTATGTTTTTGCAAAAAAAGACAAATTTTTAGCACTATATTTGCAAATTATTATTTTTTTGTCAATCAACTAACTGATTAATCAACTAATCATTTTCAGCTACACTAGTATAGATTGTTTGGTGATTTAATCTATAACAAAACATAATATTTCTCTTTATATGTTTTATGTGCAAACAGCCTATGTTGTAAAGGAGCTAAAATATTACAAATAAAATATTCAATGCAGAAAAATCTGAAAAATTGAAATTAACTTAAAATTATCTTAAATTTTGACATTTGAATAATTAAAAGTCAAAGCAGTAAATCCTTCCCTTTGCAATGTTTTGTCTTTTAGTACAAAAATGACTTAAATTAATAGTAATATAGTTACCTTTTTTTCTGTCAATCAACTAACAGATTAATCAACTAATATTTTCAGCTAAACTAGTATAGACTGTTGGGTACTTTAATATATAACAAAGCATCATATTTTAAAAAGTCTTTGTATGTTTTATGTGCAAAAACCTACATTGTAAAGTAGCTAAAATATTACAAGTAAAATATTCAATGCAGAAAAATTAAAATTAACTAACTTTAAATTCTGACATTTGAATAATTGAAAGTCAAAGCAGCAAATCCTCTAATTTGTGATATTTTGTCTTTTTGCACACAAAAAAAAAGACCTAAATTATTAGTGATATAGGTACCAATTTTTTTTTTGTCAGTCTACTGACTGATTAATCAACTAATCCTTTTCAGCGGTACTTGTATAGACTGTTTGGTAATTTAATCTATAACAAAGCATCATATTTTAAAAACTGTATGTTTTATGTGCAAAAATCCTACTTTGTTAGATGGATGTAGGCCTAGTTTGGTAAAAAGTACAATATTTCCCTCTGAGATGCAGTGGAGTACAAGCATACAATGGCACGAAATTACTCAAATAAAATACAAGTACCTCAAATTTGTACTTAAGTACAGTACTTGAGTAAATGTACTTTGTTACTGAATATTGGGTGACGACATGTTAATTTTATCACCATATTCACATGTTTTATATCTGAGTCCAGCTTTTTAACATCTTCTGCGTTGAGTCTGAGCCATTTAAAAGATATGACAAAAACAAAAGGACGTACCTTTTTAAGGCTGTGCTTCTCTGCTTTGAGTATCTCTACAAATATACTTTGAATTTAAACCTTCTCCATTAACATATCTGCATTAGGATTTTAAATGTTGTCTTACCTCTGGGTCCTTGTCAACTATTCCCAGTTTGACCACTGTCATGGTCATGAGTCTGGCAAATTCCTGGTTAGTCAGTGTATTTTCAAAGGATCTGAACACAATGAGCTCTCTGGCCTCAGATGAATAGTTTTCCATTGTTACAACTAACTGCCACTTTACAGTATTTGCTGGATATTCCTCTCCCATACTGTGCTGTATTTTCATTTAGTGTTGACTCACTGTGACTGAAACACTCTAAAACCAGAAAAGTCCACCTCTTTTTGTGTGTTAGTTATTTTGGGTCACTCATAGTCATTGCAGGTAAATATGCCAGTGATCTGAGTGATGAAAGGTATCTGTTTGACTGAGTTTATGACCAAACCAGGCAGCTCTGAGAAAGCTGTGCTTTTAAACTGGGGTATCCAGGGAAGTTTAAGAGAGATGTTTATAAGTTAAGTTTATTTACTTTATTGATCCCCCTGAGGGGAAATTCAATGTTTTCACTCTTGCTTGTCAATTACACACAGGTCCGAAAGACACACACATGCACAAACAGGACCTATACGTGCACAAAGTGGAGAGATGTCAGAGTGAGGGGGCTGCCCTTGGTGAGGCGCCCCGAGCGATTGGGGGGTTCGGTACCTTGCTCAAGGGCACCTCGGCAGTGCCCAGGAGGTGAACTGGCACCTCTCCAGCCACCAGTCCATGCTCCATATTTTAGTCCGGACGGGGACTCGAACAGGCGACCCTCCGGTTCCCAACCCAAGTCCCTATGGACTGAGCTACTGCTACTGGATGCAGCGTTCCAGGCAGGGCCCTGGTCATTCCCATGAAAGTTGCTCAGTGATGCATGAAGCCAAAGAGCTTTGACTTCCCACATGTAAAATTATCAGGATCTTCTGTATCTCTGGGCCCATACAGCAGGAACACTAGAGACTTAAACAACTGAGCAGCTACTTCCGACATTCGAAATGTTGTCAGACCAAATGGATCAATTGCAGATAGTGAAGCTAATTATTGTGATGCTCAAAAACATGTATCCACTGCTTTACAAATGTCTCTTTCACAACGCAAGTCTATGACAGAAAGTCTTTTTGGGTCCAGTAGCATCACATGACAGACCAGGAAGTTATGATTCCATTGTTAAGCCACAGTACTTACGGTAGGCCTATAGTTAAATTCGGTATGCTTTTTTTCCCAGTTCCACTGTGAAAAGTTGTGGATGTTACCAATGGAACGGTTCCGTACCAACTCCATTTTTGGTCACTCTTCTGTCGTGGTACCTAGCACACAGCTCTGGGCTCAGGGCTGAGCTGTGGCTGGTTTTGAGGCTCATGTAACCACTGTTCATACCGTGGAGTGTTTTACGTATGTTCGTAAACTGTAACTATAAAATGAAAGGATGTTTTGCTGCCTCTTGGAGCAGCTGCAGTCTGAGAAAAAATAATTCTCTGGGCCGACTGCCGGCAACTTTTAAGGTGAGCGTGTACTTGTTATGTTGCTCAATGTATGAGTTGATGACGCAAATCCATCAGCCCCCCCCCCCGAAATCCAATGGAGGGGGGCTCTCACTGCAGCCTGTTTTATTTTGTTCTGAAAACATTAGCGTGTAACCCGCTCTGTGGATGATAAACGAGGTGCATACTAATAAAGGAGGAAATACAGTGAGTGCTGGACAGAGCAGTGAGTGACAACAACCCAACCCACATTTCAGAGTACTGTTTGCAGTGGAAACACTAGGGTCTAGGTACCATGTCTGAAGGGTTACTTTTGGTTCCAAAGGTACCATACTGAAAGTGTTTGGTGTAAATGGAGCTTATGTCTAATTGGCTTTGAAGCCAGAAGCACTTCCTGGGGGCCTGGGTATACCAGAATGATCCCTTTTCTATACTTTAAAGGCTTAATGTGTTGGATTTAGTGGCATCTAGTGGTGAGGTTGCAGATTGCAACTAACTCAAACTTCTAACATGTACCAAGCGTGTAGAAGTACTACAGTGGCTGGTGTAAAAATATGAATGGGCCTATTTAAAGTCAGTGATTGGTTTGGCCCTTTAAGGCTACTGTAGGACAACATGGAAGACTTTGTTGAAGAAAAGGCTTGGTATGTAGAGATAAACAGTTCATTCTAAGGTAAGTAAAAACACTATTGTTATTTTCAGGTGATTATACACTAATGAAAAAAATATTATGAAAATAATATCCCATTTTTGCCCATGGATGCCCCTAAATTCTATACACTGGACCTTTAAGAATTAGATATATTTCTCTGCGGTTTCCAAACCTAAATGTCTAAAAACAAGCAGCCCAACAACAACTGCCTAAATGAAATACTCGGATACTACTTAAATCAGAAAATATTTGATTAAACGATAAATGAACAAGATTATAAATCTCACAACACAACTGATGCCAGCTGTCGGTAGGGTAAGGTTTGATATCCAGCTCCAATACTTAAAAAAATCTTTGATAATACTCTTAAGTAGGTGATGTTTAGGTATAAGTATAGGCCAGCCATTATATAACTTTCTTATGCTCACGTGCCAAGACAAGTACTGTACAGCATAGGTAATAAAACATGGCAAAATACATAATCCATGCACAAAATGTACATAAATACAATCTTTTTAATATTTACAATAAATATACATTAATTTACAGTTACACAAATGATAATGTACAATAAAAACAGTGCTGGAATATTCAACAACATTGCCATTTCATGTTTACATTGATGAAATTAATAAGGGAAATAAAGTTGTACATCGCATTGTAACATCTGCACACAGCTGGACAGCTGGATGCTATTGTTGAGTTTGTATTTCAGCACATCTTAAAATAACAATGTTCTCCTTACAAACCAGAGCTCACATCACAAATTAAAATCCTATCTCTGCACATCGATCAGCTACAATCTCACAGTGCACAGTGACAAATATCAAAGAGCTTTTTTCCGTCTGGTTAAGTGTCTTGTTTTTTCTGTACAGCATTTTTTTTAAATGCTGTTAACACCGCTCAGCAGCACAGGTCATGGTTGGAGGTGGTCGCAGCTGTCACTGGCAGCCACATTCATCCACAATCATGTCTTCATGATGTCGAAGGAGCATCTCTCCGTTTTCATAGTACAGCATGCTTAACGGGCTCATTTTGGTCGGGGCACAGCAGGGCGCTGCCACTCTGTCTGGGTGGAAATGTTTCAGTAAACTCTGGCAAAGGAAGAAACAGAACACAGGATTTAGAGAGATAATAACAGTCTCAGAATACTCCTTTTTTGTCATTTATAAGTGCAATTATTCAGGTTTATGCCAGCGAGGGTTTTGTGAGAGCAGCTGTCATTGTTTGGATCTCTTTTATAGGCCTGCAAACAGCGGCACCCCCGCAAATTTTTCATTGGGATAGACAGATGCAGCTACATGAAATCTTGGGGTAGCATTCCAAAACCAAAAGCCTGTTTTGATTAATTGCTTTGTCTATAGAATACATGTATAAAATGTCCGTTTTAATTACCCACAGTCCCAAGGGGATGAAGTCAGATTAGTTGTTTTATTCAATTAAAAGTTGCAACCCAAAGATATTCAGCTTACTGTCAAATATGACAAAGAAAAGTATTAAATCTTTACATGTGAGAAGTTGTAACAAGCAAATGTTGTACTAAAATGATGAATTCATTATCAAAATGGTTGCTGGTTAATCACTGTACTGTTGTTTTTTCTTTCACTCAGCAACATTGTTGGTTTTGCAGTTGCATATCTTTAATTTTTTATAGTCTTGTTTCCCTCTGTAGTTTCACGCATTATGCTGCAGCCATGTCCTGTCATATTTACTGCAAATGTTAAAATATGACCTTCCAAACCAACAAGGTCACGCTGTAGAGCTCCAACCTCCAGCGCTGGGACCCATTTTTATCGCCAAGACCAATAACCCCAAGGTAAACAATACAACCTCATATTTAAGGCAACTTAACATCATTTCAGCTCGCATGAAAGTTATGCTGTGTCTCATATCGCGTACCTCTGTACTTACACTTAATATTTTGAGTGTATAAGTGCGTTCACACTAAGTATGAAAAAATGCAGTGCACTGTGAGTACCCGGATGATGCACTCAAAATGGTCAAGAAGTTGAGTGTGGAACTATGGACACTTCTCGCCCTCAATGGTTGCCATCTTGGCTACGTAGCAGAAGGGGAGGGATCACTTTTCAAACTGGAAATGGCGGCAGAGGACTGTCCGACCACGAACGTCGCTGAATTGTACAAATACATGTGTTTTTGGCACTAAGCACCACTATACTGTTGTCGGGTATAAGCCAGTAGTATGTTTATTGGGTTAATTTAGCAGTCTGTAATGATTTGGTACCGCGAACAATAACACGAATGCTAATGCTAATTTGCTAACTAGCTAATTTGCAGTCGTCATTTCCCGTAAGTGCACAACGGCCGTGTTTGGTTTGAGACAACACTACCCTGTTGAAATTTGCGCAATACGCCAATAAGTACATAGTGCACAAAGTATACTACATGGAAGTGTACTAACGGAAGTACGAGATTTGAGACACAGCAAAAGTTTGCTAACAACATTAGCTTAGTTAGCTAACGTTAGATAACTCATTAGGTTAGGACAAGTTAATTGCTGCTTAACGTTATGTTTCCTAGCCTTAAACATTACAGTTATATTGAAATATTAGCTTGTATTGTTAAACTTGGAGTTAATGATGGAAGGCGTGTGGCTTACTCAAACTAATTAACACATGCTATCGTATCCTGATGATTGTCTCTGGTTGGCGTACACAATTTCAGACTTCCCTCTCCGAGCTTGGGACCATAATGGGTCCGATAGAGGAGCTGAACCCGGGCCTGGAGCTCTGCAGCTACACCCTTCTCTTCTAAACAGTGAAACTAGTTCACCATAATCTGTAAGTCATGCAGATGGGAGCAAAGTTTCAACACAAGCAGCCACCCTGATGTGAATCTACTGAGTCAACAATAATGAGTCATTTTAACAATAGAACAGTCATAGATGGAGAATCCGCACCACTCACCTGCATGTAAGCATGATTTGTTGGATTCAGGTCTTCTCCCAGGGGACTGGGGCAGGAGCCCTCGCAGCGGAAAGCGTTATATTTTTTAGGGAAGATGATCCAGGACCCCCAGCCAATTTGATTAAAGTCTACCTGCAAGTCGACTCTGCGACAGAGAGATTTTTCATTCCCTTTTTTGGACGCCTGCGGGCTTCTCACAGTTTGTTCTTTCTGGCCCCGTTTGCTCCTGCGCCTCTTCGGCCAGCGGGCCTTTTTGATTTCAGCAGGGGACAAGAACTTGGATTGTTCAGCTGTGTGGAGTAAGCTCGCTTTGACCTTTGAGTTCTCATCGGAGCCAGTTTGTGAGAAGATGACCAACAAGGCCCGGTCCCTCATGTCCTGCTCTCCTCTCGGGCTCACTACGTGAACAGGCTGATCGGGAAGCGACAGGCCACTCTTTGTCTTTACTGCCCCTCGTCTTCTCGACACTCTTTTGTATCGAATTCTGGCCGTCACCGATTTTTGTCTGAGCCAGCTCGAGAGAGGTTTTGTCATGTTGAACACTTTCCAGTTCTGTGATGATGTGACCAGCGATGATTCAGTGAGCAGCCCCACCAGCTGCTGCTCCTGGCAGCTCTTGTGCACATGGCATGCCTGGCCGTGCTGGTGATAGACCTCCACGGTGATGTTGGAAGCACTGGGTGTCCGAGGGAGCCTGATCCTCAGCTCTGCTGCCTGGATCTGTTTGTCAGCCAGCAGGGCGTGGAGGTCAAAGGTCGCAATCCAGCGCCTCTGTCTGTATGTCAAACCTAATGTAGAGAACACAGAAAGATTAGCATAGCTGTATCAGACAGCTTATCATTAGTGGAAATTATGCTAAAATCACACCAATATAACAACACACAAATTAAAGTGCCAGAAGCATTTATACTGAAATTAATGTCAACTAAATTGTGCTCTTTGTCAGTCTAGATTGTTTTGGTGTGAGTTGCCGAGTGTTGGATATATCGGCCGTAGAGATCATAAACTCAAAATAATCCACAGACCTTGTTGTGAGCAGTTTCATGTAGGAATTTTTTTTTTCTGCTAGGGATGCACTATAATATCAGCACATTATCAGAATCGGCCAACATGTTTTTTCTTATTTTGCATGATATTACACAAATTGAAAAGCATTCTATTTTGTGTCTCCATCTGCTGATGTATCTGGTATCGGTTATCGGCCAAATAAGTTGTTATATATCGGCATATCGGATATCAGCAAAAAATCCGATATCGTGCATCCCTACTTTCTAACGAAGTACACTCACTAACTGTATCACCACACAGAAAGAAAGCATGCATCTACTGCTAGCTCACCAAGCACCACTGAGCTAGCTAACGTTACAGCTCAACCAAGGAAGACGCTACTAATGTTAACATCTCGTGCAGTCATGAGCACGAGCCTCTCGTCCATGAGTAGATGCACTCTTCCTTCTGTGCAGTGATACATTTGGCAGGTGTAGTTCGGTAGACAGAGAATTATTCCTACATAAAACTGCTCATGACAAGGTCTCTGGATTATCTTGAGTAACTGGGTCATGATTTCTGGAAAGAGACATTGATGTTGAGTTTTTCTTTCCCTTTTTTTGGCACTTTGAGCACCACAAGCTGAGTGCCATCTAGTTCTCTAAGGCTGATATCTCCAGCACTCCGCAGCTCACACCAAAACAATCTAGACTGATAAATAGCACTACAGGTAGGAGGAAAGATTTGTAATTTGGATTTTAGGATAAACTGTATAACCACTGAGTGATCCGGAAAGCCACCCTGATCACTGAGGACCCTTCTCACCCCCTCCACCACACCTTCCAGTTACTGCTGTCAGGCAGACGCTACAAAGCGCCACTGGCCCACAAAAACATCTACAAGAAATCCTTCATTGTTTCTGCAGTAAGCACCCTGAACAATCTAAAATAGATGCTGCACTTTAACCTGCTTTTATCGGTTGCTATTTTAACAGTCCTTTTTATATTTCTTTCAAATTTATATTTCTTTCTTCTTGTCAAAGAAGAATTTCTGTCACTGTTGACAATAAAGTTTAACTATTCTATTCTAAAACTGTCCCTCTAAAAGATGTTTGCATTAATATGATGGACTACCTTGATTTTTCACTGATAGTAACAGCAAAGTGGTGATTAATTATGGTTAGGATTTATTAGGTCCAATCACTTATTTTGTTTTGCAAAGTGAGTTGTAAGGAGAATAGTAAATGTACAGTGTAATTCCCTTTGATAAGTCATGATTAATGCTTGTATTGATGGAGATTTCAGCAAATCAAAGCTGCTTCTTAAAACAAAATAATCCAGTCATTGTTCCGGTGTGGGACATGTGCTGCTCCTCCATCTGTAATGGGGCTCATTGTGATTCAACGAGCAGGTGTGGTTCAAATGTATCTAAAGGATTAAAGCATTTTAAACACTTAACTTGTGTATTGTCCGGTGCATTGGCCTATTCAGCTACACTGTTGATCAAAAAGTGCAAACCACCATCCACTCAAACCAAACACAGAGCCGAAACCAATCATTTAACACACCCCTGCCTCTCCTGGCTTCTGCATATCCTCAGTCAAACAAACAGGCTGAGGTAATAACTCTAACACCTGGAAGTGATGTGAAATTAGATTCAGCAGCAGGAAGGGCTGTCCTCTCTTGGCTGCTTGTGCCAGTAAATCCCGAGCTCTAATCTAATCAAGCCAAGTGTGAAGAAAGAACTAAGAGAAGTTGATTTGACTTAACAACAGATTTGTATGAGGGATGTCTGGTGAGAGACTTGAAATCCTGTAAGGATGCATCAAGTAGGTTGGCAGGTGGTTTGTCAGTCCATCACCAACACTGCTACTGTTGTGTGGAAGCAAATAAGAGACATACGTATTTTAATTCTAACACCCCCTTAATACATAATATTTATAGTTGAATGCCACTGAATTCACAGCATTGGGGTATTTTACTTTAAACAAACATGCACCTGAATTTATTTACTCTAAATTCACCTCACTGAAATTAAAATATGAAATCTCTTGATTTGCAATTTTAGAATAGAAATGAGATTTTTTTTTCAATGTCCACAGATTCAGATCCAAAAATTCAACTTTCTGAATTTTCCTTGAATTTCTGGATCTGAATTTGACCAAATGAATCTGACTGATGTTCTACTTGATTTTTTTTCTTCAACTTAAAATTTTATATCTGAATTTAATGCACCTGAATCTGTTTTTGAAATTTTGAGAGTTGAATTTCTGGATCTGAATTTGAACTCTGAAAATATTCATATATATATTCAAATTCAGCTTTTGAAAATTGCAAATCAAGAAATTTCACATTTTAATTAGAAAGAGGTAAGTTTAGAACAAAAATTTTCATCTAAATTGTTTTTAAAGTCAAATATTTCAACGCAATGAATTCAATGGTGTTCAAAATTCAAAATTAAGTATTAAGTGGTTGTTAAAATTAAAATACTTTCGTCTCATATTTGCCTCCATACTGTGACCATGTATAAACTCCATCCTTGATTCTTTGAGTCCTCTGAGCCAGCAGTCACAGCTCCAGTATTTTGGGCCATTTAATGTCAAAACAGTAATCTTAAACTAGAGATTTGGGTTAATTGTTTTACGTAGGCTACCCCCACCCACCCACCGTCATGTTAAACAAGAAAGGCAGTAATTATTATACATATTGATGGGACGTAGGGATGGGGACACATCCCCTTCAATAGTTCAATATGCTCAAAAGGTTCCTCCCAATTTACTGATAAAAAAATATAAGTTAAGAAAAGTTGCTACGCTACGACAGGTTACCACGCACTGCCCTTGGAAATAATCTATAGCAAATGTAAATATAATTAATTGCCATTATTATGGGTTTTCATATCACTCACATCAGTCAGTACATGCATTAAAAAGTAGTGTGCAAGTCAGTGCATCATTTTGCCCTGGAATTGCAATTGTGGAAATAATATTTTGCTGATTGCATGGTGTGTAAACAAATGTTTTCGGTGTAAACATGCTGATTTGCTGGTGTTAATCAATGAACCATCACTTAAAAGAACTGGTTAAGTTATCTGCAGGTAATTCCACACATTCACCCAGCGACCAACAATCTGCCCATGTATTCAACTACTGTTATTTTTTTACTACGTTATATGAAAAAAAAAAGTGTTTTAAATTTAGATTTTTTAAAACTTTTTCCCCAGACCCCCCTGGCATTGGTCCCCCGCCCTCCAGTGTTGACTACATGGCTACGGCCTTGTTAACAAGTAGCTGAGAACATCAAATCCCGAGCTCTAATCTAATCAAGCCAAGTGTGAAAAAAGAACTGAGGGAAGTTGTTGATTTGACTTAACAAGAGATTTGTATAGGGGGATGTCTGGCGAGATATCTAATCAACATCACCTATTTAAGTAAAAAGAGGTTTGCTTTGAGAATTAGACAGAATACCGGGCCTTTTCACACGCTGATCCCTGCATGGTTATTCACCCTCTGAGCGGGATGTGGATTCAGACCCTCTGAGGTCGTCTGGCCCGCAGCTTTGACAGGACGACACTTGAGCCACACAAGAACCAAACACTAACATTTCATAAGGGTATTTAAGTGGTGAAGAAGATGAATGAGCTGAGGAATAAATACATCTACTCATATCCCATCATGTTAGTGTCCCTGCTCATCCATGATGCGTAAAATAATGAACCAGCTCTTACTTTTGGCCATCACACTCTTCACGGTGTCTGCTTGCTTTGCGGCATCCTGCTCCATAGTATCCAAAGGCCTGGAAAAGTTGTACTTGAAATTCCTGTAGAGATGCATCATGTAGGTAGGCAGGTGGTACCCGGCCGATCGCTCCATGAGGGAAAACCGCTCCTGCGCCCTGGTGTAAACTCCATCCCTGGATCTGTGCGTCCCCTGGGCCAGCAGCACCAGCAGAGATGCGTGCAGCGCAGCAGCCACAGCTCCCAATGATCGCATGGTTAGTGACAAATTCCTCTACTCGGAGATTAGGGGTGTCTTATATACCCTCACCCACCCCCTTTCATGTTTAACAAGTAGCTGAGAACATTAAAGGAAATTGACATGCGTCCTCAAGACTTGTTACCTGACAGCTCATCATCTATTCTGGTGCTAATGAGGCGCCTGGGTGTTTACAGGGAGCGCGGCGCTTTGTTTGCGCCATGTTATTTGGGCTTCTGCAGCCTGATTCCCCATCCTTGGATTAATTGTTTCAGCTATTTGGCTTACACTAATTGTTAGGCTTTCCCATGGTGTAATGTAGTCTGTTGAATACCCTATGAAATGGACAATATGGGGAGAACGATTGGGCTGATGAGCTTATAAGACAGACAATGAAACATTACAACACATCGCATAATATCCAGAATTATAACATTTATAGCACAATGTGACCGTGTGTGCAACGCAGCCTTAGTGTTCTGTTGTATAACTATAGGTGTATATAATGTGCATTTCAGGCTTCACACAAGTATATTATTTATTAATTTAACCTTTATTTAACCAGGAAGTCCCAATGAGATTGTTCCATAAGGTGCATACTAAGATAAAATATACAAATTAAGATTGCAAAAATAAAGGTTTAAGTCAATTAATAAGAATCAGAATCAGCTTTATTGGCTGAGTTTGTGTACATATACTGTATAAGGAATTTTACTCCAGTTTCAAGTTGCTCTGTGTACTCATACAAAGGTCCAGGACCAATTTAAAGGAAAAAAGCGAACAAAAAAAGCTAAAAAAATAAACATAGAACTGTTATGTACATAAAAGTATGTGGGAAAAGTATGTGAGTATATAAATATATGTAAACAAATAACTGTCTATATACACCACATTATCGCTCTTTATTCTATTTTAACTTCCCAAGGTTCACTTATAATCAAGGCCGTAGCCATGAAGTCAACACTGGGGGGCCCAAATCTGCCAGGGGGTCTGCCCCCCAGAAAAAACCCCTCAAAATTTTAAACTCATTTTTATACTTTATTATGTTATCTATCATGAGAAAGAACAGCTACACAATACACGATACAAATATGCAGTAAATGAATAAATGAAAGCTACCACTGTCCCCATAAGTTACACACGCCATAAATAACACAAGTATAACATTTTACTCACGCGCCACATGGGCTATCTGACAAATATGACATCATAAAAACCCATTAATGTTATTAGAATATGCTTTTGAGCTGCGTTATATGGCTGTTTTCAGTTTCTGCTGGGGTACGGCAACACCACTTGGACAAACTAAACACAGAATTGCAGTACACCTAAATACTAGAAGCATGATTGTAGTCACATTTGCCAATGATTAGCGGTGGACAGCAGTGGGTGGTTACCTGTCATAAATTAGGCCTACATTATTTTGTATTTTCTATCATCACTATGGGGGAGGGCGGCGTGACCCCCAAATATAGGCTATATTAGTATTACTACCTTGCTTATGGTATTCATACATTGTTTATATAGAGCTTTTAAGCATATATATGGTCAATAGTAAATTTTTAGAGACGATTTCATGCTTTTTATGGTGTTTTGGATTTTCACATTATTATTCCTATTAAAGGCTATGCTTCTGTAATATAATGAAACATTACAAATATTAAGACAAAACACTGTGGTAACATCATATAGGCCTAACATTCAGAATTATAAATAACATTTATGGCACAATGTGTCCTTGTGTGCAATGTATCTTTTGTTTTCTGTTGTATAACTACAGGCTAATGTGCATTTCAGGCTCCACATACATATAATAATATAAAACATACAAATGTAGATGGAAAAAAAAGGTTAAAGTCAGTTAATAAGAATTTTAAGAACTTTATTGTTTCGATTTTTCTGTGAAGCACTTTGTAAGGAAGGTGCTATCCAAATAAAGTTGTGTAAATTTTAGGTGCTTGATCAGTGATATTTACATAATAACATGAAAGATATTTTAAAATTAAAATCATCTCAATATTTATAAATGAATCAACCACAGCGTGCCAAAGCTCAGTAATTCATGTGTTAGTGCAGGTTTGGATGTGAGTGACTTTGCTTAGTGAGAGCAGAGAGCATCCGAGGATGACCGCAGACTGCGCATGCGCGCTCCGTCTTTTATCCACATACAGAAATCCTTTTCCTCGTAAATTCCCCGAGAAAGGACCAAAAAAAATCAATGGACGTTGTGTTTTTTCCAGCAGAATAAACAGGGAGCGGTGCAGCTCGGTTACATCTTTCACACCGACGACTAAAAACATGTTTTATAAGGGGCCAGACGCTTTTTTCACCACCGTGTGCTGAAATGGTGAGTAAAGTTTACGGCTCTTGTTGCACGAGCCACGGCGGCCGAAAAGTTCACATTGATGCCGAGTTGGATGCGAAGACTGTCACAGTGTGTGGACGACTCTGTTTATGGTGCATTTGCAGTGTTTGCAGCTTTGTTAACAGTGTGAGAGTGTGTTCATGAGGCGAAGTGTGTGTGTGGGTGATGGGGCATGCATGTGCTTGGCACCCCCCACTCCACGCCTGCACTTTATTGTGCATCAGCCAGTGGTTTGGTCTCAGGCAGGATGAATGATGCTAACTGTGACCTCCAGCTGGTAGCTCACTATCAGGCAAACACATGTTCAGATAAATATCATTTCCATAACATGTTCTCTTTTACTATTTTTAGAATTTATCATGTAAAATGTGTGGTATAAGTTACCCTTTACACCTCCTCCTGCAAGCAAGGAATGCACCACCAGAACATAGTTTGGTAGCTTTTCAAAAAACAGGTAACACTTACCTGAACAATAACAACTTCCACACATGAATAACATCAATACCACGCACATATATTACAGTTTTGAATATGTTATTTAGATGCAGTCATACTGGACTCTAAATCATCTACGTCCAATGTTCCATTTCCAAACTACTTCAGTGAAGAAGACATGGCTGAAAGCTCTTAAAAGCTAGTAAGTGGACCTTTTAGTTTTTGTTAGAATGGAATTGAAAGCCTTTACTGTATATGTACAACTAAATTAGGAGTGCAACTCCTGGTCAGTGCCATTAATGCAAGACAATTTAATAAATATTAAACTAAAATAAATACTTTAAAATGAAGGATTTTGCACCTAAAAAGTCAGAGAGCAAGAGCTGCTGTCATTCCCAACCGACAAACATGATTTTACATGATTAAATATATTGCATTTAACCTTTCAAATGTTGTTGTCAGCTCGTCCGCACACTATTTTGTGAATGTAATGCAAGTATATAATATACATAACATATTAGACAAGGCAAGGCGAGGCTGTTTTATTTATAAATCACATTTCATACTCAGGTAGGTTCAAGGTTCTGTACAGAGAAGTTAAATACAATGAATAAAAGAACAATTCAGAGTCAAAACAGTACAATTAAAGAAAGATAAAACAGTAAAAAAACAAGCAAAAACAGTTTAAAAGATTTAAAACTGCAATATAATAATAATAATAATAATAAGACCTTGGGTTTTAAAAACATTTGGTTAAAAGCACTCGAGAGTAATAACGATTTCAGTTTGGATTGAAAAGCTGCGATGGTTGGGACATTCCTAGGGGGTGTATAGGGACGTAACAATACAATAATCTGGAGCGATACATAAATTCAGTGATTAATGATCCAATAACATCAATGAAAAGGGAAATCATGGATACGTACTGTCATCTTTAGGATGCTAGTGGCCTAGTGCCAGGCAGACAATGGTAAGCACCTGAGAAAAAGACCTTTAGGATATTTAGTAATATCGTCTAATATCCATTGCAGCCCTCTGAATTAAATTGAATATAAATTGTATAATGGCAGACTGTGTGATATCAGCAAACATCATATCATTGTCCAAAGATTCAGTGTACAATTTTATTGAGGTAAAACCTGTGATTTACATCCCTATAATATATCACTAAGTATATTCTGTCTGTGCAAAATAATGCACACAGACATGATCAAGGTTCCAGAACTGTGCCAAGGCATGTTCAGTCTTCCCATTGAGTGTAATATAAAGTCTAAAAACTCCACAGTGCAGTAAGACAAAGCACAGCGTGCCCTTTGATGTATTGTAGTCCCGGCTGTTGTTTGATTTAGCTCCTGCAGCTGGGATCATTCTCCTCTGTCCGTATCACTTTACCTAACATCCTGGGGGGAAGACAGAAACCGGCTTTTGACAAGCAAGGCCGCAGATCAAACCATGAGCATCACAATTAATCAAGAGTGAGTGAGCACCAAATGTCTCGATGAATGGACACCTGGATCATAAATGATTGAGCCGTTTGTTCATGGTTCATCTTGATAAGAGGATGGGAACAGAAACTTTACTCCTCCCAGGCTTAGCTGGAAAAGTTGCAGATTTATTTTGGTGTGAATTGTTACGTTATTACAAATTATTTGTAGATCAAAGGGATATTGGTTGGGAACTTATCAACTCTCAAAGGTCCAAGTAAGTTTGGGTTTCTTTCAGGCAAGTTTAAACCCAGGTTGGAGACATTTCTCTTTTATTTTCAGTCTCAAAAAGAATTTTAGAGTCTGGTTGTTTTGATCCATTTGTGCAGTCTAAAGCTACAGTTGGTGGCAGTTCCTTCCTTACTGCACATGAATGAAAACCAATCAGAGCTGAGGACTTTGTAACGCTGCTGTCAATCATGTCAATCACTGCTTGTGAACTAGGCAGCGCTGATCAAATATGAATCAAGATTCTGTTACTGCATTGCCTCTTTATCATCGCAGATGTTTTCAGAAACATATTTTACTGCACTGTTTAGCTGTAAAATGAGAAAGTTGGTCAGACAGGTGGGCGGACTATTTCCAACATGGCAGCTGGGTCACAAACTTTAGTCCCTTTTACACTGCCAGATTTTCTGCGAATGTTGGGCCGTTTTGCCGGCAAGCTGTGAGCGTTTAGACACACAGAGCCGGATTGGCGAGTTGATCTGAGGTGCCAAATTTTCCGCCTTGTA